CGTTATTATATAAATAACAAAATTTGGTACGAACGTAATTTTTGCAATTTCTCAATATCTTAATCTCAAATTCGCATTCGTTTTAACGTGAATAAAACTTAAAGCCTCTGTATATTAAATCAACAAATATCAATAAATGTAGTTATTTACTTTAGAGACAGAAATGTAATAAATTCTAATTTTGATTTCTATTCTAAATTTGTTTAACTAATCATTTTCACAATCATAAATGTTTGAGATATTTTCGCTCTGGAATGGTACAACCTAATCTTTAATAACCTTGGTAAATGTTTACGTTTATCAATAGTAGTTCTAATTTCATTGAATTCTAAAATTCTAAAATTATATTTTCTATGTCATGGAACCACATTATATATTCAGAATGTTGGTTACGTGTTAGGTTAGAATAACTTTTAAAAATTAAAAATTGTTATGGCTTCCAAGGTATTAAATTGCACAAACTTTATGGCACTTCTCTGTAATAAATTTTCTGTTACAGTCGATAAAATCTCTAGGCATATTTAAAAACCCAACAATTTTTGATAAGGGACTAGGGGCTTTGCTTCCAGAAGCTTATAAAAAATTCTATAAAGAGTGGAGGTTTACAGAACCAACGGCTGTACATTATGTACCCGAACCTGGAAGATGGAAAAGGGATGAAGTGACAGGCGAAGTGTATGTTAATTTAATTCGTTTTGTATGCTCCTTTAAACATACTTCTTTTCTAGTCTTCCTATTCAGAATATTCCTATACCCGTTTTTTATCCAAAAGAACATAACAAACACATATGGGGAGGAGAAGGTGTAGTTCAAGGATTTGAGAAACGTGACAAACATTATAAAAGGCGAGTACCACATTTTTGGGTCCCTGTTTTGAAGCGTACTGTGGTTTACAGTGAAGTTCTAAATAAATATATTTCGGTTATTGTTACTGATAGAACAATTAACTTGATAAATGCGAACTACGGATTTGACCATTACATATTAAAGGTAAGTCAAATATTGCGACGGTGACATTCATCGGCAACTGATTTATTTTGTTGAACTTCAGACTCCTGCCTGTGATTTAAAATCACTCCTGCCATTAGCAATAAAACGAAAAATGTTGCAAGAGTTAGAAAATGGATGCCCAACATACTCGGAGCAGCCAGAAAAACAAAAAGACATTTTAAAACGCTACCAAAGTTACTTGTCTGCTGTAAGTATTTTATTATATTAAAGGTTATCATATAAGTAATAAAATGGTATTAAACTATAATTTAAAATTATTAATGTTGTTTTATTTTTAGTATACGCCTGAAGAAATAAAATGGTACGGATATTCTTTTAGTCAAGCTTGTAAAATACTCCAAGAAGAGATAGATGCAGAATTGAAGGTTGTACCACTGAAACATGTTTATAGATCACAACTAATAGAAAAGTTAAAGGCGGCAAAAATTGAAGAAGCTTCTGCAGTATCTGAATTAGGGTAAGTTACAGTTATTTATGCTTTGTACCAGCATTGCCAGATTTTTTTTTCGAGCAAAGCGTGATTTTGAAACATTTTGAGTAAAAAAGCAGGATTATTTCGTCAGAAGTGGGACATACTAAAAAAACGTATATAATCAATAGTTTTTAACTACTTATCCTTTTATTTGAGTTTCAGATTAAGTTTACATGACGATAGACAGCCAAAATTGCCATAGAAAATATATTTTAATGAAAATACTTTCGTTACTTTACTATACTAATTGTCGCGCCGTCGAGTAATCACCGAAAAGCGGGACATTTGATTTCAAGCTAAAAATCGGGACGTCTGGCAATGCTGTTTTGTACACTGAATCCATTTTCAGTGTGTAATTTTTTTTTCATTGCACATAATATAGAGTATAACTTTGAACGGGACCATATTTAAATATGGATGCTACCTTTGACATTTAGTAGCATGTATCTTCAGATTGTTTTGGGATATTCCATAGCAAAAGCCGATTTTTTTCACTTGGGTGCTACGCCATGCATTGTGAAATCTTTCTTGATTCATATACATTTTTTTTTTTTTTTTTCACTGAAATAAGTAACCTTATAAGGTTACACTTATTCTACACAATACACTTCACGAAATACCTGTTTAAATTTTATTTTAAACTTGTTAAAGCACAATGCTGCACTGTACAAATCCTATTTCAATTCCAGCGAAAACTAGCTCTTCACACAAAAAGCCGTGAAATTACCTACAAATTAGACACCTCTTAAACCGATAAACTGAAAATTAAAATAAATGTATTAAAATGAAGCAGGGACATATTTGCCTGCCTAGCGCCATGTCAAAAATATTAGAAATTTTTATGATGGTTGAAGCTTCATCTGCGTAGACAAAATAAATATGGTAATTTAAAATAACATGTCACAAAGTTATACAAAAGCAATTCACTCTCTGATACTGTTAGTACAGTTCATTTTTAAAAGGTAACAGCAGGCAACACCGATAAGTGTGGGTATAAAAAGTGTTTGGGAGCTGCCGAGTGAGGGTGTAGACAAGAAACAAACTGAACCTCCACTTAAAGTTACACTCTATACATTTTTAAAAATAATTCCTAAACTGATTTTTCTAAATCTATATTTGTCACGTGTTTTATTTGAATATTTTTTTACATTTCAGGGAAACTGAATCATCTGCATCTTGGTTACAGAAAATTAACCCATTTGGGAAAAAACATGAGACTTAGTGCTACATAAATGTCATAAATGTAATAATTATTAGTTTTTCTGAATCTGATTAAAAATTATACAGTTCGTATTTTATTTGTTTTTTTTTTATTTATTATCGAAATCATCTTTATTTGTTTTAAATTTCATGAACAGAATATGTGTTATTTAAAAAATATTTATTATTATTATTTATTATAAAGTTCATATATTATTTTTTTCGTAACCCCACAATGGTAATAAAAATTTAACTTGTTTTCCTAAATATTAACTTAACCCATATGAGTTAATAAATAAGAAGATTAATGGGATAGGGCGGATGCGGACGTCCGGACGGAGCATGCATTCACTGAGGCCATCTCGTGTTGGTGCAGCAAAACTTTGTCCTTTATAGAAATTGTTAAACAGAAATCTACAACCACAGATCGAATCTGTAGGCTTTTTTTCGCGACTGAATATTAGTGAACATCTGACTTGTAGATAATTTTTCTATCTCTCTTGATCTTAGTTGTCATATGGTAGTTTAAATCTCTTCATTCTCTCACACTACACATGCTACTATACACTCGCGAAAAAATGCCTTGTTTGTATTTCCAATCTTTCAATCAATGAATCAACAGAAAATTCGGAAATAGATTGTTTGAGGTTATAAGTAGTTTATGTCCAGGTAGGTTTGTGTATTAATAAATTTGTTTTGTTTTAGATTAATGTAATAAGGGATTTATTGAATCAATCGTCTGAACTGTCTTACGGCAGAACTAAACGTCAATGTTGTGCTCCAAATAGCAAAAGCATTTCCGACTATATGAATATCTGTAATACGTTCTATAGAAATAAAAGTTTTTTCAGAATTACAAAAGACAGACAATTACTGTGGATAGAATCAGTTAGAAAATTATATAAATCAGAATTTACTCTGACAAACACATGATTATTTTTGTGAAGACCATTTTGAGTTAAAATGTTTAAAAAACAGTAATAGGATAGGAAGTGCTGTGACGACATTATTTTTAGGATCAACTACAAGTTCACCTATTAATTATAATAATATCACCTTGGAATCCTCAGATAGTAACCAACATTCAGCAAAACAATTTGTTAACATGACATTACAAAATTTTCAGAGTACGAGTTGCCAAACTTCAATTTAGGATGATTTTTCACCTCCACCTTTTAAAAAACCGAAATGCAGATATTTAAAATTATTTGCTATAAGTGCCATAAGTATAGTATATTACATCGCACTGATGAGAACCAATTAGTTCGAAACAAATGTATCTAACCATAATTTTTGACAAGTAACTACAATGCATTTTACATAAAAGCAGGTACATATAATTCTTTTTTGATACTTAAATATTTTCGAATTCATAACAGAATGAATTTGTATATTTGTCACACATTTAAATATCACTGCTTTAACTTTTTCATTTAACCAAGTGATAATTAAAGTGTTTCATAAGTAATGGGTCATGGAACAGCTGTTAATGATTCACATTAATTTCAATTAGTAACATAAACTATTAGTAGCTGTTTTGTAATCTATTACTTATGAAATACTTTTTATTCTTAGTGTATTTCATTACATTTAAATTTACCGCCATTAAGGTGCAGCGACATCTATTAGATAGTAGAATTAGAGGTTACTTTAATTGTGTTTTCCAATGCAGTTTCCTTAATTATTTTGTGATCTGTGGTTTCCGATGTATGTTGTTTGCTGCATCAGCTACAGATGGCGGTACTCTGCCGCTGCTGCCGACAGAAGAGTCAGAAGTCACGGAACAAAACCCTCTTATTTAGTTACTCATATGACTTAACCACATCAAAGTTGTTGTCTTGGCGTCCAATGTGAGTCGCTCCTAGATAAATGATACTGTAGATAAGAAACTTGAACAGATTTCATGGTCAGTAACAGCGCTAACTGTTGACACTTTCTCCAACTTCTATTGCTTTCCTTTTCTAGGAATTATCGGTAATACAGTGAGTTAAATTACCTGTAGCCGGTAAAAGATGCAAGCGCCATCTAGTCGTACGCTCTACAACTATATACCTATCCAATATTTATTTTAGGTATTCTGCCGCCGCTAAATTTAAAATTACATAAGAAATCTCACCCTACACAGATCACTCAGAAATTGGTTTTGTAAAATAATTTTCACGTAGATATTTTTTGTCACCATGAGAAAATAAGTTCATTTGATAAAAAGCATTAAATCACTCAAGCATTAAAGACACTTTTAAAAGCTCTAATAGCCTTCCTACTTAAAATAAAAAAATAATTTTGATACTAACTTTTTCAAATGTTTATTGAAAAAATTTCAAATTTCAGTACACATTTTGAAAAAAAAAAGAGTGGAAATGATTATAGAACAGCTTTCAGTGCTTTCTATATTGTATTAGCTTTCACGGTGAATAAAAAAATATTACAAGTAAATAATTTTACTGAACCAATCTGATTAATTCTTGTAATAGAGATTTATTATGCATCTTTAAATTTTTCGTTGTGTTGATATATATAAAAAAACTACCTACCTCTGATCACGACAAACTTTCAGACATTTTTTATTAAAACAAACAAAAAAATAAAACATTTTATTATTAATAAAAAAATGTGATTATATGATCAGACATTATTATGTTATACTACAGGGTTCATAGTTCAAAAGTAAGAATGAATTCCCTGACTTTTCCCGGTATTCCCGGTTTTCCCGGCCGCTACGAACCCTGTATACAGTGAATGAAATGTCTAATAAAACACACTAAAAACACAAATAAAACACACCAACACTCGCCAAACTTAACCAACAATAAACATCATCTCTTTCTCTATGATAAACATTATCTATAATAAACATGAACAACATAAATTACATGAAATGACTCATAATTGCAATTGTCAAAATTGGTATTCTACAAAATCTTTGTGGCGACATCTATAGACTCTTTCTCCAACTTGTATATCCATCTCAAGTCACGTGGTTCCCAGTTTCCCCATATTTTCAAGTATAAGTTCTGGGGCCCTGGAGTCGCTATTCATCAATACGATGATGTAATTGTGTTTCAAGTGTACTTTAAAAGGATTGGATTTTGTAAAATTATCCAGTATTGGTATGTTTTGATATTCATAAACATTTTAAATCGAATAGGTGAGCCTAGAATCTACATTATGGTTGTGCAGAAAATAGGTTTTATTTATTAAATGATTAGTTAACAAAAATAGGTTTTATTTGATATAATCTTTTCTACAAAGCATCCTTAAAATAAATATAAAAAATAAAGTTTTATATGTCTTTCTCAGCTAAAATATAAAACAGGTAGGTAAGTAATCAAGGTAGTTCCAAAATTTAAATTTGCTCAGCTTCTTCTGCAGTTTCAGGTAGCTTGATGCCAAAAGTTTCAGGTAAGTACAAGGCCAGTAATCCAGCCAATATGGCTACTCCCCCAAAAAGAAGCATTGGTAGAGGAGCATAGTGAAGTCCCTAAAAAAGAGCCAACATTAAATTGTGCAATATAAACCACAGAAATATAAAAATATTAATCCAAAAGTACGCCGTTTTTGAGACGCCTTCACAGTTTTTGAAAAAATAATGATGAAAATTTAGTTTTTTGTCGTGGAACATCCTGAACATAAATATAATATAATATCTATACCAGTAAAGGAACGAAGGGCGCCAAAAGGGCTCCAAGTCTGGCCACCGTGGAAGCTGTTCCAACTCCCCCGCTTCTGATTACCGTGGGCAGAAGTTCCGCGGTGTATACATAAACTACCCCAAAAGAGGAGGTTACACCTAATTTTCCTAGCAGGAACAGGGTGATAACAGCCCAGCTGCCGCTCGAGGAGTTTGCTATGAAAATCGTTAAAGTACATGTTACTCCGCAAATTAGAAGAGATCCAACAAGAGATATCCTCCTGCCTAGTTTTTGGATGCAAACCCAAGCTGCTGTGTAGCCAGGAATTTCTATGAGACTGACCAGTGCAAAGTTTAGGTACTTATTTCCACCTAGACTTGTAGAATTAATCGAAAGTCCGTAGTAGATAAATGCATTAACGGCCCAAATGAAGTACATTATGAGGAATCTTAGTATTAGCTTTCTTGAGGTTAACATTCGCTTTATTACTGGAAGAATTTTGTCTTTTTCTTTGAGATCAGGTTCTCCTTTAACCTAAAACAAAATATTTAAAAGCGAACTAATGAAGTTATCGTATTTTTTTACCGTTAAAGGCGCTTCTTCTTTGAAAGAATCAACGAGGTTGTCCGATAGGACGACATTGTTAAATTTGGCAACTTTAAAGACAATTTTTTTGGCCTTATCATTTTTTTCATTGGCTAGAAGCCATCTTACAGATTCAGGAACTATCCTAGGGAGAAATAAATAAGTATAATGGATTCGCTTTCGCTATATTTAATAGGATTTACCAATAATATCCTGCGAATAATACTGCCGGTACTGATACAATTAGTTGCAAGTGCACCCAGTCTTTTGTGTACCAAGCTATAGGAGATACGATGGCTTCCCCTAAAGCGTAAAAATAATTAAGTACGATGCCTGTCACTTCTCTTTTTCTCTTGCCAACCATTTCAACGCCTGAAAGAGGTATACACATGTTATTTATTCAAATTGACTATGTGGATTAGATCTAAAAAATTATTATAGAACAAAGATATCAGAAGTGGGATAATTCTTACCTATTATAAAAGCTAATGGATATACTCCTGCGGTTCCTAAGGCATTAATAAATATTAAAGAAACAAAAGTGATGTATTCAGGAGACACTACTTGCACAGCTCCCGAAATGCTCATCAGCAATGTGCAAATAACAAAAATACTCTTCCTGCCGTACCTAAAAATCATTTTATTCATAGATGTACAGTGTGATTTAACATTACTCTGATATAATTTTGTACTTAACAATTGACGGTCTAGTGGAAAAAGATAATAAAAATGCGCGATAAATATTATCTAACTTTACTTACCAATCAGCTAGTATACCAAATACACAAGATCCAACAATAATTCCAGCAAAATGGGAAGTACCAACTAGAGAAAGTTTCCACTGGTTTTCCACACAGGTTATATTCCACTACAAAAAAGATGTTTAGTAAGAAATAAGTAGGTTCAACTTACAAATAAAATATTTTATTTCAATAGTAGTTTAAGTTTGTCACCAATTGTAGTAGTAGTAGTAAAAGGGGCGGCCTCAGCCTGGCAATTAGGCTACAAGTGGGCCCTTTTTGCCTACCCTGCCGTCCCATTATTTAACCACTCTCTGCCTCTGACCCTCCTTGAACCTACCCGACGCCCTGATGAACGCCAGGATTTTGGTCCATGGAAGGTCTTTCGCCTCAACCCCTTGCATCTCTTCAGCACTAAAGACTTTATGTCTTATTCTCCCAAAGGCTGCACACTGTCCCAGAAGGTGGACAGGGGTATCCTCCCCTTCACAACATTTCGGGCATAGAGGGTCCTCCTCAATTCCTATTAAGCTTAAATGCCTCCTAAGTCTGTAGTGGCCTGTCAGAACTCCCACCATTTGGTTTAGGGCTTTTCGACTGAGGCTCAGCAGCCATCTCGTCGTGGATTTGCTAGGTCCATGTATAAAACTATGGGCCTGTCTACATCCTCTATTTCTCCTCCAATTCTGACCTAAAGTTTGATAGGCCCATTTATTCAGGGCCCCATTAATGCTGCCTCGTGTGATACCTACGATTGGTTCAGGTCCCCTGGACCCGAGACGAGCTAATTGATCCGCCCTCTCGTTACCAGGGATACCCATATGGCCTGGGACTCGAACCAACTTTACTTCTTTTCGTCTGGCCAATGACTCTAGAGCGTCTCCACATTCCTGGACAAGGGCAGACCTAGTCCTCGGGGAGCTAATCGCTCTGAGCGCGGCCTGACTGTCGGAGCAGATAACAATCTTCTCTTTACCAATTGTAAGTGTTACTAAAGATACACTACTCACTAGATTTATAAAATATATAAAAATACCTAAAGATACCTGATATAATGACATGTAAGTTTCATAAAGTCTTAAGATTTCATCCAGAGAACTATAATTACGTATCACAAATATTTGATAAATTGTTAAATAAAGACACGTATCATTAACAGGTCATGACTTTTGTTGTGTTAAAGAAGTAATAAAAAATATTATTTATTTGAAAATTTTACCTAGATACTAAAAATACATCTGGATATCCGGAAAATATCTTGATTTGTAACATAAGACAAGACATCCCTCTAATAATGTCTTGAGGATAACCCTTATCATACCTCTGCCATAATATGTAACATCCTGACGATAGCGTATAGTCCACATCGCATGCTCGTGGGACATCAGGATATCCGGAGGATATCCTGATTTGTAATATACGATATCTTTGAGACGTCCTATAGCCAAAACTGTATATCCTTGGGACATACGAGTATATCTCACCAGGTGTGTGTCCAGTACATAATTTTTGGTTTTAATCCCCATGTTTTGAATCATGAGTAAATTTCTGATGTTCTGTCTATAGTAGTTACTGAATGCAAGTCAGTTTTGAGTCTAAAATTGCTCCAAGATATTTTACTTCTTCTGATAGTTGTAATTGTCTACCTCTAAGGTTCTAATTCTTGAAGCTTTCTTCATTTCGTAAACTGTAAAATTATCTATCTGAATTTTGACAGTTTTCAGTCGTCGTGCATTTATCATTTTGGTGTATATTATTTCCCCGAGTTTTGTAACCCACTCCATTCAATTCCCGTACTACCTTGTCCATGATCAGGTTTTTTACTGAATGTGCTGTAGATTGTTTTTTGCAGGTGAACATTCTTCTTGCAAGCGGGCAGGGACGAGATGTACATCCCCCCCTTCCACTCAAAACTAATGCAACAGCATTGTCAGTAACGTTAGCATTATTACATGTTGTGTGTTTAAATTTTAATTTGATATACGTCATGTGACACCAATATTAGTACCCTCAATTGTGCCAATAATAAATTCAATATCTGTATATAGCCATATTTATTTATTTTTATTTATTTGTTTGTTTATATTTGTTCTGTAACTGGATTTTAATCTGTTCGCCAGTAAACATTATTACCTTTATCATTGGATGTAAATAGCGTAGCTTAATTATAAAACCAGTGATATATAACCAGTATAGTATATAGATGATCCATTTTTTTGTTGCAATTGGAAGGTGTTCGCTAAGTGTTCTGATTTTCAGACTTTTCAAAATCACCATGTCCTCGTAGGTACCTGTTTTTTGTTACCCGTTGTGCATTCGAATGTTTATCCAATACGTCGAATTAAATTGAGCCATGTCTTTTTTATCTTTTCATTTAAATGCAGTAGATCACGTACCTTCGTTTCCCTTCACACGTTTTTGTGTAATCAATATTAGCAACAGGCACGGAAAACAAAAAGCAACGCCAAGATACTAAACTGAATTTGCCGAGCTGCTTGAGATGCAGCTATTTAGCGGCATTCGAAGCCAACCCGATCGAACTTCGACTTCGCCGTTCAGGCTCACAAGTGAGAAATTGAGCTGATAGTGTCTCACAATCAGTGGTATTGATCCGATGATTACTGCTGTTTTAGTACAGTTTAGTCCTGTGTAGGGTATTGGTTATAGGATGATACTATTAATTAATTCATTTACCATACTGAATATAGATAAAAATATGAATTTAGTTGTATGTTTCTGATATATTTCTGATATAGTTTCGGAAAGTCTGCAGTGCTAATGGAGGAATCGTCCCTGCAGTTTATCCACCTGCCAGTTCATCAACAAACTCTTGATGCAAGGATGATTGACCTTAGGAAAATATTGTAAAATGCTCCATGAATGTTCAGAAAGGACTGCTTTTATAGATATATCGGTATTTAACGATAACAGTTTTTATACTAATAATTACAAACTTACATCGTTCACGATCGTTCTCTCGTTATTGTCAAATATCCACTCTGAACATTTCTCTATGGTTTTTGTGAACATCTCCGGCGAACAAGTGGTATTTATGGCTGACTGATTTAAAGAAAATCTGTCGCAAGTGTCAGCTTTAACGCCAATGACTTGGTCCGAATTTTTTTCGGCAGGTATTGCCCATTTCAACCATGGCGTGTCGTATGACGTGTCGAGCGGATCTTCACATTCAGGAATGAAACATCTGCAAAAAAAAATCTAGAATTTTAACGTAAAATACGAATATATCATAAACTAATAAATGTGTGCATCATAAATGATTTTATGATTTGTACAAAATTGTTCATACTTATTGTAAATAATTATTAATAATAATTAATTATTGTAAAGCTATGTTATGACTACTATTCGTCATTTATGGAACGAAAATATCTTCAAATTGTGATCATACCTGTAGTCAGGGACCCCAGCTGTAAATACATAGCTCAGACTGTTAGCAGCAGCGAAGAGAACCGGGAGGCATACCAGAATGTAGGTGTATATTTGGAATTTTCCCAATTCCCCTAGTTCTTCAAGCATATCATCGAAATCTAGCATGCGTTGGCGATCCATCTTAGGCTTCCGCTGTAACAATTATTGGTTCCGCTGTTACATTATTAATAAAAATCGCGATACTGTTATTGAAATCATCAAAAGTATCGAATTTATAAATCCGAGGATTGAGAGTATTAAGGCAACATTGAAAAGAGATCTGGATTTTTTGATAAAGTCTATCAACATTTAGCGTCAGTAAATATTGCTAATCCCATAGAACAAAATAAATACAACTGTAAAATTATGCTAATTATTAATCAGCTTTAGGACAAAATCCTTTAAGAATATGAAATATATATGTTATTACTTATAATGTTGGTGTACCTACATCAGATAATAATCAAAAGAAAATGTGAATTAGTCTAAGCTTACTAACTCAAATACTTTTTATAATGGATATTAAAGATACTGCAACACGGAAAAATTACTTGGTCAGATTTTTCAAGAATCTGAAAAGCAAAAGAGTTCAGTTTGTCTATTTTTTTGTAATAATTGGAGTATATGTAGATTAAAAGATATAGATTATTGAAGAATTACAGATTCAATCATTGTATTGATGATAAAACACGCATTCATATCTGAGGTATCTTTTATAAAATTGTTAATTACCTTATCACTTCGCAAAATGTAGAATTTTACACGTAAACGACTGATTCCAACTTTTAATTAACGCGTTTTAATTTTTAAACATTCGCACATTTACACCACTTAGAGATAAACTGATGGAAAATCAGTTTGCAACTGTGGTTTGAAAAATATCATAATTACTAGTTTATTACGCTTGCAGGCAAGTTCTGATAATATTGTGGCTAACTAGTGCCACTATATTAATATGAGCAGTACAAAAGTAGATATTTTATCGCCGTTTTATAGTCGTATGAATAGCAACAATGGTAGATATTCTAACCCGAAGTTCTTGGAAAAACGATGATTGGGGAAAAATGTGCTGAACTGCAGTTTGGAAATTCCGAAATTCCCATTGCAAATTTGCTAAGTTAATTAGGAATTACTGTATTTAAAGATACAAGTATAAGCTTTGGAGGCATAAAAAAACTCCATGTATATTCTTTCTAGTTCCGGGGATGAATCTGTACTTTTAAATATGATATCACATTTTGCGTGTTTCTAAATAGGCTTTACCGTAATTTAAATCATTTGGGATTTCGTGTATGAGAATTATTTAGAGAACGGTAAAACCAAGGCTGAAATAAAATAGTAACTGTAATTAGCAGTGGCGGCCCGTGGGTTTGAATACAGGGGGGGGGGGGGCGCATTTTGAAGAGGAAAAATTTTAAGGAATTTGAAGGTCATTGTGTTTTGCAAGTACCCCAAAATGAATACTGTCAGTGTGTACAGTAGCTACTTAGATACAATGCGAGAAATAAAATTCCAACGAGTGGGGGCTGAAGTGGATAATCGATCAACCAACCCAGTTAGGATATAATTATGTAGATTACTGTAATAGTTCATTCTGTATAGTTTTTGAAGTGCCTTTAAAAACATGGGCATCGCTAAGATGTTTATCTAAAACGGGATCAATTTTTGCACTATAGTCTATCAGTTCTAAAAATACCCATTTGTTTACCGAGTCACTTATTTTATTATGTCCACGAAGAGGAAGGTTACATGTACCACATAGTTTTAAGATATTTATAATTTTTGAAAAAAGCAATCGATTTTTCTTAACTGTTTCGTTATGACTATTTACTATTTATTTGTTCTGCATAAGCACTATTTAAACAAGAAGCAATATTTACTCTTCCTAAAAGTAAAAAACTCACCAACTTATTTTTGTGTTTAGGAGAATTTTCATGTTTCTTAATTTTAATTTCTAAATGTTTCAAGTCAGAAACTCCAGTTTTCGTCCAGTTTTCTTCGCCTCCTCCAAACAATAAACATACAAAACAAAAAAATCTATTTGTTTGGGCACAACCACAGGGTCTTATCATAAATGTTTTTATCAAATTTGCGAAAGCCGGCCCACTTTTGCACTCTTTCTGCACCTGAACTAAAGTCAACACTGGCGTTGAACGTCCGTTATTTTTCAATTCGACTTTTTCCTCTAAACTTAAATTACTAATAACAAGTTTTTTACTTTCACAAACCCTCATTTTAAACTTAAACTTATAAAATATGATGTCTTAAAAAGCGCCAAAGTAAAAACAAAACAACGTATAACCACGCTTCGGTGATACGGCTCATGGAGTCCGAAAACAACGTCCGCGAGCCTATCGTCGCCTATCCCCTCCACGTGCCAATTTGTCCAATCATATGTAAAAATATGCTTGCACGATGGACTCAGATTTCACGGTCCGCGATGGAGTGGGGATTGCGCGAGCGGTCAAACATAACTCTTTGATACGATCATAAATGACACATGGCATTAATCTGAGCTACGTTCACGGAGTACATGCACTTTATGCAACCAACCTAACATCCAAGAGATATTGAATGCATGCTATTTAGATTTCTTATTGATTTAAATTTTAAGTATCAGATTTAATAGAATATATATCTGGTAATCCAAACAACAGTATTTCATTTTCGTTTGGAAATTATATAATTAAAATAAAACTAGAATATTTAAAAAGTATTCTTCTAAGATATTGAAAATTGTATATTTTTGATGTTTTGGTTTTCAAGGCGTAAAGCAAAAACAACGCAGCTACAAACTTTTAAAATATGGTCGGTAAAGGTAGCCGCACACTGCAGGTTTTTGTAGATAGATAGACCGAATAATACATTTATATAGTTACGTTTTTTTTTTAATTTACACATGACGAAAGGCTACATTCCCAATATCCTACGAAATTAAAGGTGGAAAAATTAATCGTGTATTTTTCTTGTCTTTTGTTAAAATTAAAATTATTTAAACAAAGTTAATTAGACACTGCGTGACTGCAGTGAAAGGATTTAGATATTAGCAGAAAGCAAGGTTATAATTATTTATACCGTTTGGCTTGAAACGGAGTTAAATTTGCATCATGACTTTTTTTAAATAATTATTTAATGACAAGTAAATTATCAATGGCACGCTATTTGTTCGATTAAACAAAATGAGTCGTTTGTGGCAGATGATTCATCTTGATGTATGTATAGGCAATACAGAACTGTGAATATATAGCGGATATGTTTAATGTTGAAATTAAAATATGCGGTGTCCCATAATTATCTAGTCAAACTTCATCACTAGCTCTACATTCAAAAATGATATACAAAATAAAACTTCAAGAATCTTAACTGTGTGTCTCTGAGGAGGATTTTATTCAGTGCTTCCGAAACTTGCAGGGATAGTAAATGACGTCTTAGAGATCTACTGAATATTTTAATCTTAACAAGAATGACAACCTCTTTGATTTGATTTTAAAATAGATGAGAACAAGATGGGGTGGGGGTAAAAACTGCCGCAACTTTTTTGTGGGTTGTTTTTACCAAGTGTTAAATATGAAATTTAAAAATGTTATCATTTTCATAACGGAACTTAGTTAGAAAGTATTTTAATGCCTATATTTATCTATTTTTTAAATCTGACGAAGTTTAGTAAGTTACTTATTGGATATTTTACAGAAACACCGCATTGTATAAAAATTACTATGGTCATTAATGCTATAGAAATAATGTCTTGGAATAAGTGTCTTTAAATTCGAACAATGACAAAAATTTTATATACAAGTTGAATATTTATAACACTTTTCCTTTAAGGCATATACAGATATGAAGTTGTTAAATTAATAATTTTAATCTATTGTCCATTAATCAAAAATATTTTATAACAGAATGGTTCTAAGTTCCTTGACAGATTAGTTTTGTATTTCTCAAGGATTTTATCCTTTCTAGCTATGTTGCATATAGAATCGTTTACAGGAATTTCAAGAAAAAAAAGTGAAACACACCACGCGAAGTATGCAATCGTGACATAATCAACTGCTTTTTAAGTCGAGCTTTATGCCTTCCTCTTTCGCAAAACCTGATTGAAGTCCAGGAAGAACTCTTAACGGAGTACCTTGATGTATTTTTCATTGTATATAATTATTTATACAATTGTTCTAACTATATATCCACAGTCTTGTATATCTACTAGTTTATACCAATGCGAGTGCTCATCAAGTTAACATGTTCAAAAGAACTGTGATTTTCTTCTGTCTCTCGTTTTGTGTTATAGTGACAGCCAATAGGAATAGATACTGCCAGCTGCCTTGCGATTTGTTCGTAGAGCCTGTCTCACACACGGTCTGTGATAGGGATTCTGAGGTACGCCAATAATATTATCATTAATCATATAATTACCATGAAAAAAAATTACCTAACAGTCATTAATCACATTAAATAAAAAAAATTGAAGAGTATCTATTATTTTCATGATAAAAATTCGACATTGAGAGAGAAAAAATGAGGAAGTAATTACGAAGAAATTTTTTAAACCGCCAATTCTGCAAACAGCTTTAAATGTTAATGATAATAATATTTTAACCGACAATAGAAAAAAGTGGGCAAGGCAAAGATAAAGGGGACTTTTTGTATTTGTTTTATAAAAGAAGAATTTCCTGTTTTTATATTGATCTTAAATAGAATTTTAAAATACCTACAAATGGACATACTTTATGTTGAAGCTCTATATAAATTTAAATTATATTACCTATTCTTTTTGTTTAAAAATGATACTGATGATGGTTAAAGGTCTAAAAACTGATTGACTCCAAGCATAATTAAAAAAAGTAAATAAAAGTTTTAAAGCGTATAAAATATAAATTATATATATAAATATATAAAGCAATATTTTTATTTAAACATACCTACAATTCCTACATATTTCATTAGCATTTTTTTAAATTAAAAATCGTGTTCATTTTAGATGTCTGTTGTCGCATTACAACTTAATTTTGAAGTTGATTTTTTTCTTTATCAAGCGTAATTATATTTACAGTGAGGTTATTATAAACAGTCTCCTGATATTCTCAGAACAGTAATATCAAACAAGGATGCCTTCCTCTTTATTATTTCTCTTTTTTTGTCGAAAATGGAAAATAAGAGAGATACCTACCTATACATACTTTTTTTAAAGGGAGATAATAGAAATTATATTTTTTGTGGCCCTTCGAAATCTTTCGAAATATCTTATTCAATTTTCTGGACACCAATTTAGGTATTATTATTCAAATCTCGAATGTTAGTTTCAGGATATAACTATGAAACTAAGTATTATCATTTCAACCTCGTTTTTTAAATTTTTATCCCATTTTAAAAAATAATAGATCAATTAATGTTATGAAAATTTTCAAATGCACTAAACCTGATTTACTGAAAACGGTATAATTTATCAACATTAAATAAGGGTGCCTTTATCAATGTTTTTAGAAAGAAAGAAAAAATAAATGACAATTTCTCTTAAAATTAACCCTTATGTAAAAAGTTTTAAAAATCTCGAAAGGCAGTTTTTAAAAAGTTTATACAGGGTGTAAATAATTAACTGTAAAATAAAATTAAGGTGATCCTACGTAAAGAGCAGTCTTTTTTTTAGAAAAAAATCGAATTCTCTTTAGGGATCTATGGTCCTTCAAACAGGCAGAGAGAAAAATTTGGAATTATTCAATTTTCGTGGCTGGAAACATATATAGGTAGGTAATGAATTTTCGAAACCGAGAGAGATGCAATAACCAAATTTGGATCGGATATAGCTAATAAAATGCAAAGCATAGCCTTACCGTTAAAAATACTGCCACCGCCGTTCTGGGTGGTGCAAGTTCAAAATATTTGGAATTTTTCAATTTTCGTGGCTTAAAACATACATAGGTTTTGAATTTCCGAAACCCAGAGAGTTGCACTAATCAAATTTGGACAGGACATAGCTGATACAATGCGAAACATCGCGTTACAGTTAGAAATATTGTCACCCCCGGTCTTGGTGGTGTAAATTCGAAATATTTGGAACTATTCGATTTTCGTTGCTGACAACTTATATAGGCATTGAATTTTGGAAACCGAGAGAGATGCACTAACCAAATTTAGACAGGACATAGTTAATACAATGCGAAACATAGCCTTAGGTACTGTTAAAAATGTCACCGTCGTTCTTGGTTTTGAAAATTCGAAATATTTGGAATGATTAAATTTTCGTTGCTGAAAACATACATACATCAGTATTGAATTCTCGAAACTGAGAGAGATGCACTGACAAAATTTGGACAGGATAAGTTAATACAATGCGAAATATCGCCTTACTCTTAAAGTTACAAAAATGAAATTGCATACAGTTTTTCTATCGAAAAGGCATTTACTGGATAATCTTTATCTTTTCTTTTGATTAAATAATAATTAATAATAAGTAATTTCCCGGTTAAATTATTTTCTATTGGTAGTATGGTCATTTATGTAGATTTATTTTATATAACTTTATTTGAAACAACTTTGATCTCTTCTATTTTTTCGTAATTGTAGTAATTTTTTTACCATAAAAATAAATGTTATACAGGGTGTCTCGTTCATGTTTCAAAAAAACTTGTGTGCAAGTTCCTCATGGGAAAATAATGGGGGTAGTTTATGTAAAGTTTTTTTCTTAGACACCCTGTTTTCGATATACAGTGTGTTGAAGTTGTTTCTAAATGGTTTTCCTTAATTACCTTTAAATCGGCTAAAGATAAAAATGTCAAAACTTGTACATTAGTAAACATGAACTGTGCGTTAAGAATAATGTGCAAACGGTTTCTTTATGCATAGTTGCATAGAAGGAAATGGGAGACAATTTCAGTATCTACTGTAGTATTTCGAGTTTGCACATTTATTTAATTGCGCAGCAATTATTCTGTATGTCCCCGAGTCTGTTTCCTAATATTTTTCTGCTTTTATCACTTTTTTTAAGCATTCATGTTCATCAAGAATTCAGTCCATTCAACAATTGTTTATTTTAGTAATGGTAGTGTAGTAGTTTACAAAATCTAAAATTAGTTAATAATAGATAATTAATTACCATAATCTGTTTATTTTGATTTACTTTTTTAAATGTTAGTTTACAACAAACTGAAATTTAAAATAAATTTAATTTTTTTTTTTTAGTTAATAAAATGTTTTATAATTATTTAACTGTTTCATGTGATACGTAAAAAATTAAAATTATAGTCTTAAATGCAAATACTGTTGGTAGCTAAATGTCTTCAGTTCACTCAATGGTAAGGTCCTCATTCAATTTAATATTTTGTTAATGTACTTGTGTAGCTTTATGTGAGCAAAAAAAAATTCAACTTCATTTTTCTCGAAAATGGTACATGTTACCGAATTTCGACAAGTATACCTTTTTTTTTTTGTAGTATGCTTTAGAGTTTACAGAACCGTTTAGAAATGTAATAAATTTTTACTTTTAACATATTTTTTTTTCGATTGTTCCCCTCCAGTTACCTGTATCGACGACACTGCTTTTCACCGTTTGTAGGAAAATGAGGCACACAAGTTTTTTTAAACATGACACCCTGTATATATGTACATACCGATCGGATACGGATATTAAAATGAAAATTTTGTAGTAATCGGTTCTCGGATAGATAATAGTTCTTCATAATCTCTAAAGGGTTATAAATCTACAGGGAACGGAAGGAGATATTTTGTTTTAAAAGAAAGGAACGTCTCTTAGAACCTTAATTACACATTAATTCTCTCGCACTTATTTATTTACACTCTAGCTTAAAGGTGTCTTATTTTTTGTATACTAATCGTTCTGAAAATATTACAAGATAATTTAATACCGTCTTATATACGAGTAGTTAGGTAATTTATTATTATATATCAACTACATTGAAAAGATAATTTAACAAGAATTTATGATTTTTTTTTTATTTAAGAATTTTGTGAAGTATAATTTAATCAACTGTTAGTTACCTACCATATGATTTTTTTTTTCAGAAATGTGGTCCATCTCCCACTTGTGGTCCAGATTTTAAAGTCGTGAATTTAACCAACGATGACCGTCAGTACATTCTGGACATTCATAATTATTTGAGAAATAAGGTGGCACTGGGCTTCGAAAAGAGAGGTGGCCAACCTAGAGCTTCAAATATGAACGTCATGGTATGACAAGAGTATCATTTATTTCACTGGTTATTTTCAAACAATAAAATTACTGTCGAAAAAAGTAGACCACTTACAAAACGTGTGATTAAATGATTGTGACTTAACTAATCACTCAATCGTAGAAGAAGAATACTTAGTTTTGCTTACCATTTGTAATTAAATTTATGATTAAAATATTAAGTTAAACAATATATTTCACACACCTAACAGTTTTTTGTACAGAAATTCTCATCCCATTATCGAATCGTTGTATAAGGTCGGCCTGTTGTGATATTAATAACACTCACATGCACAAAACTGTGAACTCACCTTTTTGAAGGCCATTACCAGCAAACGTGAAGATGGAATTAACGGAATGGCGTGTTTATTACGTGTTTCATTGGCATATTATATAATTTATTTACTGCTCTCCGTTATAGGAAAATTATTATCCGTAATAGCAAACAAAACAAGCAAACAAAATTGGGAGGGTTGTGAGATCAAGCGCTGCCGATGAAGTAGATCTCCAATATTGATTTATAAATAGGTTCGTACATACATATGTTCGTATAGAACATTTTGTATGTATCTACTTAATTTAGGACAAGATGAGACAGGTGACATCAAATGATATTTGTTATTTTAAAAATTATAACTAATATCAGTTTGAAAGTTTCAAGTCTGGTATATGAAAAGAAATTAGTTGCCGGTGATTATAATTCTACTGAACATCACAATCAAAATGTTTGTCTTTTTAAATTGTAAAAATATGGCAAGGCAAGGAATTGACCAAGTTTTTACCCTATTTTTAAATTTTAAAAATTGTGCGGTAAGGATCTATACGAACAGAATATTTCAAATGAAAATTTATATCTTTTATGTAGTACTTAAAATATACAATTTCTGAAACTGTACTTAAATAGAATGTTAAGAAAAATTAATTATTAATTTGCCCCAAGTTGTTTTTTATTAAATGTTTCAAGATAATTTAATATTATTTTTTAATTTGTCCGGAAATTCCTAGTCTATGACAGATGAAATATTTGTAATATAGTTTTGTTCTATATTTCAATTGATTAGATTGGTTATTGAATTGATTATATCCACTATTTTATCAAGAAAATTTTGAAGAAAATACAACTTGGTTAATTTAGCTCGTTAATATAACTAAATATTTTATAAATGGAATACTTCAGATAAATATTAATTATAATTTCATTATCTGTTTAATTTGTAACACTTTCATTTTTAGATTACAAACATTCATTAACATTTATGACCTAAAGGATATCGCAGTTTTAATATTTAATGTGTGTAACTGCGGGCGCAAATGGAACAAAAAATAATAGTACTTTTGCTCTTACAAACTTATTTCGAAGTCTCAATTGTTTTCGAGGTGCTCTCCAAAAAATGCTATTTAACTTATATGTAAACTGAATTGTATTTGAACTAAATTTAACGTACGATACATTGGGCCAAGTTCCCAAAACTTATTTTAATATTAAGACCCTCGCTCAATCAGTGGCGGAGATACTGGGTGATACCTCATTAAGGATGTTGGAATTTCGATGGTGCTGAATATTTTGTAAAGTCGATAAGTTTATTTGATTCCTAATTGTATCACAAAGAAAATATATCTCTTCCATTTTATTCGAAAACGAAATCAATTTTGTGATATTATTTCAGTCTAAAATAAATTTACTATATAGGCAACTCTAAAACTATTTGTTAAAAAATAACATCTACAGGATTTTTTCATGCAGATACAATTTTAAATACAATATAACTATTAAAAATAAAAAAAGACATCGACATAGGTGACCTTAAATGGTTATGTTGTATTTAAAATTTCACTTATAAAAAAAATCCTATAAATTTTTTTGTAAAATTATGTTTAACCTATGTTTAGTTTATATTAAAAAAAATATAACAAAAAAATGATTTGTTTTTCGAATAAAATATCTTTTTTTGAAATGTAATTGGGAATCAAATGAACCAATAGAAATTACAAAATATTCGGTGGCGTCGAAATTTGACGTTCTTAACGACGGTGTCGACTGGTTGTGCAAGGGTCTCGATATTACAATATTTTATAGAAACTTGACCTGAATAACATACGTCATATTTAATTCAAATGCATCCATTATTTTTGGGAAATATTTAGAGTAAATGAATTATTTTGGGGACATTTAGCACCTCGCATTAGCTTTGATTGTTTTGTCCGCTCCTGAGGCCTGACGCCTGACAAACTAAAACCGGGACTGGGACACCCGTAAATGAGTAATCTTTTTTTTAGAGTTATAACCAGGAATTAGAATTCATCGCACAATGTTGGGCAAATACTTGCAATGGGAAGCCTTTGATTCACGACATTTGCAGAAGAACAGGTAAAATTCAATATCATTTTTTTATCCTTGATATTTGGAACAAAATAAAGATAGTTCTTAAGTGGAAATATGTAGATATCATTTTTAGAGTTTAAAGAGAAGCAACATTTTTTATACATTAATTAATATTAATGTTTATATCTAATATAAATTGATGTTTGGTTTTGATTGGATTGAAAATTTAAAAAATACTGTAACTAGTATCTTCGTTGGTTTTTCCCAGATGAGATAAGATCTCATTTACGAAAATTACTTGATAGTGTAGTACCTACTTCATTGAAGCATCTAAGATATTATTTTATATCATGTCATGATTATAATTGTTACAACTATGATGCAGTAATATTATTCCCCTAAGTCCTTATAATAAAAAGTATATTTTTGTTTGGTATTTTTAAAGCAATAAATAAAAATAATAATAGGCCGTTCCTACCCAGTCATTTCGTCTACAAAATAAAGCGTATATAAGTTAAACAAATTTAAAATTATTAAAAGATAATTTTTTATAAATTGTTTAATAAAAAAGATTTTAATAGCCTGGAGCAAAAATAATCAAGGATATTTTTTCATCATTATACTCCGATAATTCTTTTGACCTTTCGAGATGATGAACCATGTCATCTTCTGTATATAGGATAATCCGCACAGACCTGATTCTTAAACATATATCTATTCAAAAAAATAGTACTCACGAATCACTTGATACTGTATCACATATTAGTTACAATTATCACTGTCATTATCCGAAGGTAATTTGCGCGATACTAGATAATGGTAACATCTACATAAAAATTCGTTCCACCAAAGCAGAAGCTATTTTTTAACTGATATTTAACTAAGCTGTTAAGCATAATGCAAACATACATTTTTAATAGTAAATTGATATAAATATTTACTTTGTTGATATCATTGTCTCGAAGTGGGTTATATCATCCTGTTAATCATAATTAAATTGACTAATTGTTTAAATTACAACTGGGTTTGCATGTACATGAGTATTAGTAGTTTATAGACTCATTCTCTTCATTACACTTGGTGCATTAACGATTTTTTAGCGCCACCTTTACATAGAATATAAACCAAATTTACTAACACAAAATGCTTTCCCTTCCAATTCGAACTTTAATGTTCTCCCGCTAGATGACGCTTGTTGTTTCGATAGAGGAAATAACAAATAACCTATTTCAAAATAATCCCTGGAAGTTTATTTCCTTGTCTGATGCTTTAATAATTTAAATGATATTATTGCTTCTAGTAAAATATGGACACGTAGGTCAAAATTTGGGATTCACGAACAGTTCTATTCCGAAAATCGACATAGTAAGGGCCATCAAGGAGTTAACTTTACTTTGGTATGATGAGGTTAGCCTGTTCAACAGTTCCTGGATAAGCGATACCAAAGAAAGGTAAATATACTCGGCAAAAGTTCAAAAATATACGAGCACCATTAAGAAATAAACTTAGCGAATTAGTAGAATAATTACTACAATAACTTAACCTGAGACACGTGTTATAAATAGAAATAACCTATACGTACATAAATATCAAACAAGCATAACTTATGGCTGACTATACTTGTGCATAGCGATACTGAACAATCATTTATGTCTTCCGCATAAAGTACACTGGGGATTTTAATAATTCGTTTGTATTAGCTCTAGACAAATAAAAAGTAGTATGATTTTCCACATCACTGCGGAGAACCAAGGAACTTAATTCTTAAGCAAATTTAGACAATCAGTTATGAAGTAAATGAGACGAAGATTTTACCAATTCACATGATCTGTGAGAGATGAAATGCTTAGAAATTAAATATACAGGACGTTATGAAAATCCTATCCCGGACACAACCGTATGGTAGTAGATTTTATTGCAGTGCCCTGAGGATGTTACAACACATAGAGTAACAAAACGTCGACAAGTACAAATTTGTGTTTCCTTTGAAATGTGGCCTTAATACCCACCATTCACTAGAAATATAATAAGTTACTACTCTTCATATGGCATCATTATAACCAGTTTTCTCTGTACTATATTTCATTATTGCTCAGATCATTCTACAAGTTGAGATAGTTTTGAAATATTATCAATTTTAACATTTCGTAACGAAGCAAATATCATTGGTAAAGATTAGGAATAGTAAAGGGCGCAAACTAGATCCTTGTGGGGCACATGAACTTCCAGTATACCCTTGAGAATTAGGTACATCCATTAAACGCAACAAAGTAGGTTCTATTCTTAATATATTCACTAAAGCAAGGCTAACACCAAGCCTTTCCAGTTTTTTTAACAGCATACAGTAGTCTAAACATTTCAAAATTTTCGCTATATTTGTGTAAGTTATATCTACCCGACCATGATGGTTCAAAATATTTGAAAGATGTTGTGTAAAAACTATATGCATCAAGGTGGTTCAAAGTAGAAGTTTTATAGATGCATACGGTTATATAGACACATTTCAGGAAAATATTAATTGTACTGATTTTAAAATTGGAATATCGATTAAAAAATGAAAATAAAAGGTATCTAAGTAATACAAGATAATTGATTTGTATTGTCAATGTTTATTTTTGTTTATTTTTCTATTTAAATAACTTATTTAATATTCAAGTTCGATTAGTTAGTTATTTGGCACACCCACTAAGTAGATGAAGATTGGACCAGTCAAAGAAGAGTTTCAATATGCGCCACTAGAGGGCACTTTACCTAGATCTCATTTGTTTTGTTCATAACTTTTTTCTCTTGCTAGACATCACACAAATTTAAACATCAGAAAAGAGAAACAATATTAAAAAAGTTATGTACTCTTTATTCAAGCCGATAAATGTAACCGGTTAGCAGGAAATCGCTATTAAAGTGTTATTAAACATCAAATTTTTAATAATTCTTTCTGCAATTAATCAAGTTGCCCTGTATATTTATAACTTTTTACTAGTTTTAAAATTATTCTGTATCTGATGTTAAATATATTGATCCGTTTAGAAATATGTAGATACCTAATGGGGGTGGACTTTTGTAAATGATAAATGATAATTATTATTAATAGTTGCTTATTATATTTAGATAGACCTATTTTAAGTGAGGTATTTTCCTCTTGAGAAAAGGATTGACCTACAAGAGCGAGTAGTGGGTAGAGAGTCATAATTTCCTCGAGCAGATAATATACTTCGACAAGTTTCTCTTCAACCGAGAAGTGTGTGGGACAGAAAATGAAAATAACCTAGAAAGTTCTCGTCGAAAGGAGAGTCTCAAAATAAGATGTCACAATAATATAAACATGGATATAAATATCTTTTGAAATGTTTTTTACATTCAGTTCGTACAATATTTTTATATATCGTAAAAATCAAGAGCCGACAAACATATACAGGATGGTCCATGAGGAACTGATCAAAATAAGTTTTAGTGCAAAAGCGGTTATTCTGATTTACCAAAATTTAATTCCAGGCGTCCGGTTCTAAAATTAAAAAATTATATTAGCAATTTTTTCTTCTAAAAATTGATAATTTTAATTTAGCATCTCTAGAAGCCCTTCTGTACCAAATTCTAATAAAATACATTTAAAAGTTATTAAGATTGAATAAAATCTCATGAAACATTACACCAATCGCCAAACGGTGAATCAAATAAAAGGAAATAAAATTACTGTTCCAAATAAAATTACTGGTCACGTGACTTGTAATCATTTATTAAGGCTGTATACAGGGTGTTTCTGAAACAAGTGCGTTCCTTGAAAGGGGTGACAAAGGGCACGAAAATGAGCAACTTTTATTAAGCAACTGATGTTCCGTTTTCAAGAAAATTAATTAAGAAAATTAACAATAATTTTGGGTCGACCCTGTGCATCTTGTGCACGTGTACGGCCGGAATGCTTCGGATTCGCTACATGCGTGAAGCCTTTCTCTAATTGGCTAGCGTTCCAAGTGACTTCTACAATAAAGCAAATCTGATGGTAGGCCAGTATGTCTTTGTGTTCTTTAGTTGTGCATTGCAGTATTACTTGGCCGGCGTATAAAATGGTTTCTGATCAAGAACTAGCAAATATAGTGTTAATGTACGTAGAATGTTAGAACAATTTAAATGAGACTTGTCGCTTGTATGCGGTCCGTTACCGTAACAGACGACAACCTAACAATAGAATAGTGCTTTTCTCAGTCTGTGCTTACATTTTTCAGGGAAGAGCAGGTGGGACACTACACCCAGCTGGCGTGGGCAGAGAGCGCGGAAATAGGATGCGCCGCCACCTTTTACACCACCGTGGAGGCGACGGCCAAGAGGAAGTGGCACCATCTCGTCTTCGTGTGCAATTACGGCCCCGGCGGCAATTACATCGGCCGGCCGCTGTACAAAGTAGGCAAGCCGTGCTCGCGGTGCCCGAGGGGCCTCAAACAAAACAGAAAATACAAGGGCCTGTGCGGCACAATAAGGAGCCTGAATGAAACGGAAAGTTTCGGGAGCGACGTTTTTTATGATGATGAAGAGCCGGCCGGGGAAGATGAATAGCCGCCATCAAAAAGTCCGGGAAAAGCAGCCCGGATAGCATTAGTTTAAGTCCTTTGTTTATGCTTTTAAGTTAATTCGGTGGGAGTTTAGCAAATTTTATTTGGTTGAGTTATGCCCCGTGTTCAAAATAGCGCGGCCCATGTCAAACTTCGCCACGCCATAACCATTTATGTATTGTTATACGGATACAAAGTGTTTCCCAGTAAAAACATTTAGTCCGGTCAAGTTAGTCCAAAAAATAAGAGTGAAGGTACATAAATTTACAATAAGCTGAAAGTGAGTAAAATTGTTTAAAACATAATTAAAAATAACATATTAAAATTCCTTATCGTTCTGGTACTCGGAAAAAAATTTACTCGAGGTCAAAGGACAAAAAAGGATTTTTTCGCGATTTTCAGCTAAATGGTAAGTTTTATCATAAAATTACTTCTGACAAAAATTGAAGATCATAAAATTATCTATAAAAAATATATCAATACTTATTTCCTAAGAGCCGCCGTTTCTGAGATATAACGATTCAAAAAGTTGTAGAAGTTGTAATCGTCATAAGATGCATAAGTAGGTACGCCACGTATATACATCTCTGAAGCTGTAATATAAGCAAAAATTTTTTTCCATCGGTGATTGTAACTTACACTTAAAATATAAAATATACATAAGTATAACAATGAGAATATCAGGTAAAATGAAACCCAACCCCTTAATTTATACGCCAGTGTAACCTTGAGACAACATCTGTCTCCCTGTTCAATTGTGTGCGTGGCTAGGATCGTATACCTGCTTTATGTTAGAAGAAGAAGAAGATCAAGAAGAAGAGCAAGGAGAAGTATTTGAAGGTTATGAATCAGACGAATAAATTCCTCTACTTTTTTAAATTTCCATCGCTTTTATCATTTCCAACCCTTGCTAATATCTGTTATTATGCAATAGTTTCAAACTAAACAGAATCACAACAGACCTGTGTAATAGGCCTACTGGGGAAACCACATTAAAAAAAACGCGCTAAGTACACTATAGTAGGATCGTATACGATGCAAAGTAGAGCAAAAAATTGTCGGCCTTTTATCAAAGAAAAATCGTGTCATCATTTTTAGGAGGCGTAAGATAAATCATTTCAAATTTAAAATGAAATTCAATGTAAAATCTGAAATACCGCTGCATACGCACTGTGTTCTGGTAGTAGCTGTAGTAGCCCAGGTGCATCGAGTGTACGAACTGGTCGGTTATACGTCAAATACTAACCTGGCGAGCTTTGCCGTCAATTAGAGAGCGCTTCCAAAAAACAAGTAAACAATAGTGGCGCGTACAGAGGTAAAATGTAGTACATATGTGGAATTTAGGAAACAAATTGGATTTATAATAAATTACATTTGAAATAAATAGTTTATGAGAATAAAGGAATTTTTGTAGCAACAAGGGTGCCAGACCTGAACTGATCCCCTCGTCCCTTCATAATGTATAAAGAAATTATTCAATTTGTAAAACCCTTAAAGGCGTACTTCATTGGTTCCCTTGACAGGCAATGATTTATTACTTTGCATCGAATATGATCGTGTGTGTTGACGATTACAACTTTTACAACTTTTTGAATCGTTATATCTCAGAAACAGTGGCTCTTAGGAAAAAAGTATTGATACATTTTTTATAGACAATTTTATGATCTACAATTTTTGTCAGAAGTAATTTTATGATAAAACTTACCGTTTAGCTGAAAATCGCGAAAAACTCAATTTTTTGACCTTTGACGTCGAGTAAATTTTTTTCCAAGTACCGGAACGATGAGGAATTTTAATATGTTATCTTTAATTATGTTTTGAACAACTTTATTCACTTTCAGCTTGTTGTAAATTTATATATCTTTGAATGTCTATATTGACCGGACTAATTACCAGCGAATTGTGTATGTTCTGTCAAACTAATACGGTATACAACTGCAAAATAATTATATTTAGGATTGTCTTTTGGAAATACAATAAAATATATAACTAGTATGTTTTTTAATTTAACCGGAAATTGTAATTAAACTAGATTTTTTAGCAGACTATTGTTGTTGTCGTCAAATTCTGGATGGATTCGATCGGATTTCAAGGTACCTCATCATCAGAAACTACTAAAGGGACATGAAAAAAAATATATAAAAAATTTGTTTATTTTATACAATTTGTGTCACACCAACAAATTGTATAAAACATATAAATAACACAGGCCCACAAAAAAAATGGTCGCTCAGCATAAATTCAAGGGCAAAAAGGACAACTCAATTCTATTGAAAAATCTCAAACGTGTAGTGTTTTTTAAGAATAGACAAACCTGAATTAACTATTGCCAACCTACGCATGCCGTAAACCTTGAAAAGTGTTTTAACCCTTCGTAAGGGTAATACCAAGTTTTTACCACTTCTATGGTCTTAAGTTTAAGACACTTGTCACTGCGATTACAAAAAATCTAAACACCACACCAAGAATTACAATTTACACTTTATAATGTTCGCAATTTTGAAGTTATGATCAAATAAAAACTTTTCATAGCTTTACATGTCATCAACAAACATTAGGACTATAAGTGGGCCCAAGTTAGAACCCTGGGTCAAGCCACCTACAACTGTGATGCGAATCATTTATATTCTATATAATTTATTCTATTTAATAATAAAGACGCAATTAGTTTAATTAAATTTTCATTTAATCCAAAATGCAACGATTTGTTTATTAAAACATGAGATCTATTATTAACAGCTTCGAAAACTTACAGTGTAAACTTACAAAAAAATCAATAATCATAACGTTAGAATGTGAGCATTCAGCTGCTAGGTCACTAGGCACCAAGGGAATAGGTTTGATACTTATCGGAAATACAAATATTCGGGAAGTTTTTACTTTATAACAAGAAATCAAAAATTACATTCATATTTACAGTTAAACAAACAAATATCAATAAGAAATTAATTGCGCTACATTTATAAAAAAATTATTTAGCATAAAGGAAATGAGATTAAATTGAAGAAATTGGATTGAAAATGTAAAAAAATAATGAAAACTCTTGTTTGTTGACTAAGGGCCATTTTCACAATATCTGGTCACTTGAAGATGACTGGAAACTGCAAGTTATCCAGTAAATTTCCGTTTCACAATATCGGTTTTGGCATTAACTTTTGGTTAACCTCCCAATTTGTTAACTATAACTTAAGGTATGGGTTAACTACCGGTTGTTTAGAAACCTAACCTGTAAAGTTTTATCTAAATCCGTGGATCTTATTGAGTTGGGATTCAGAATTTAGTTTGTAGAAATTTGATTACGAAAAAAATACATATAGCAGCAAAGAGAAATTAATAAATGAATTAATGCCTAGAGTACTTCGGAGAAGACCAAATTATTTTGAAATTATGATTCACGCGACTTTTTTGTGAGATTTAGATTAATACCCAGAACAGCTGAAATATTGTTGGAGGAACTTGACGAAGCAATCAGTCATCCAACAGATAGGTAAGTATCCAAATTACCTTATGTAATAAGTACTTAATTGTTTTTTTTTTCCTGCAAGTCAACAGTTCTTGCATGTTGACTTTAAATTTTGCAAACGTCTACTATGGAGCCATAGTCTCGTTACGTCCACAATATATTCAAATACCAGAAGAGGGAGAAATTGCTTTAGTCCGGCAAACATTTTTTATTATTCTTCAATACATTTCCAAATTTTTTCCTGATCTTTCCATGTACGTACATCACTTTTTTTTACACTCAATAATATTTTTATATTTTTCTATTAAATATATCGACAAATTCTCTTCGTCTTGTGTGAAGTTTACTGCTCTTTTATTATCCATTGCAATTGCGATTTTTGGTTTATCTTTATCTCTTCTAAACGAAAATGTGAGGTTATTTGAGTTCCATAGAACACTGATTATTAAAGAATAAGGGTCACGTGACGAGTTCTCAGCACTACCAATTGTAGAAAAACATACACACTTTCGGTTAACTTAACCCTGAATGTGAAATCTTTTATGAAATGATATGTTTGGATTAACTTTAAGGTAATAGTTACCTTTACTTTTACTTTTACCGCATATTATGAAAATGGCCCTAAGA